AAATCAAGAAGGTCTGAGCTTTCTTCATCTCCTAGCTGCTGCATGACTCCCAAGTGAATTGAGCCACAGTTTACAGCACGGAGGTGGACGTTGCTGGGGCTGGGGAGGCAGGCTGACAGATCCTTCAGATATGCTAGGGTAACAGGATTGCTTCACAGTCTGGGCATCTCACTCCATATCCCACTGCAAAGGGCACATTTTTTGGTTGTGCTAATTCTATGAAGGCATGGAGCTGGAGGAGGAATTGTGGTCCCCTCTGTCCTGGCAGCCACTATGGAACAATGTGTCTTCCTAGTAAGTCCCATGAACTTCTCTAAGCCTCAGTTTCCCTTACTATTTGTAAAACGATGGGTGTGGACTAATTGGGACTTTCAGTCTTAAGTGCCTGCCATTTAAACCCTGCTTCCCACCCAGAAGGGATGAAGCCCACATCACATTGCCTTTTGTTCAGCTTTTTTCTGGACAGGCAGAGCAGGGAGAGAGAGACTATTAGCCTCCCGGGGAGGTGCCTGCTTCCCCACCCCAATTGCTTGTGACAGGTCGTATATTTGATTACGAAAAGCAGATTGGGAAATCATATTTCTGCATTCCCATCTGGGATTATTTATTTAGTCGAGTCCACAGCCGGTCAAAGTTGTGAGACCATGCAATGTTAAGAGTAGCTTTCCGCGAGAGGAGGGTTCGAGGTCATGTCTAGAGAAATCCGCCACAGCAAAGCATTACTGAGATGTCCATTAGTTTCCGAAAAGTAATTCACCACCCCAGGCGTTTGCGGCAGGTTGATTTAGCGAGGTGACTCAAGATGGTGGCGGAGGGCAAGGTTCCTACCGGCCCCAGATCAGCTCGAAGCGTCGGAAGCTAGAAAGTCGGGTGGGGTCGTGTGGAAACCGGGTGTCAAATTTACCCCTGGATCGGGCTTTCTACTTGCCATTTCCCTGGGTTAAAATAACAACAAAACGAATCTACACTATTACTTTCAAATACCCAAGGTTCAGTAGGGGCGGGTCGCCGTGCCAGGGGTCCTACAGCATCGTAGCCTGTAAGGTTGATTTCACTTTGCAGGTGAGGAAAGTGAGGCGCCAAGGGAGGTTAAGGATCCTCCTCGCTGCCCCTCACCCGCAGCCGCAGAGCGCCAGGTCTAGCGTTTTGAACTCCCAGATGTGAGCTCCGAAACCCAGGCCCTCGGCCTCCACACCGGATTGTCTGCACCGAGTCAGGACCCAGAAAAACTATTCGGTGCACACTCAGCTCTGGCGGCCGGGGTCTCAGTGACCCGGGAGAGGTGCCGGGCCAGGATGGAGAAGCAAGGCCGCAAGCTGGTCTGAGGCGGCTTGGCCACTAGAGCGGGAGGGAGGCAGGCAGCGCTTGCGGCTTGGCGTCGGCGGACCAGTTGGGATTTGCAGCGAGGAACTGGATGTGTGAGTGGGAGCCAATATGGCACAGGCTTCTCTTTTTTTGGGGGGGGACGGGGCAGTGCTTTTGAAGAAAAATGAAAGCTACCCTCATCAAGAAAAGAAAAAGAACTCTCCTCCCTTCCTGCTTTTTGTTGGGATTCCCTTGCTTGACTCAATGAAGGGGGTGTTTCCGCCCGGTGGGTTCCAGCTGCACAGGAACGAGGAGGGGTGCGGGTGGGAGAGATTTGGGGGCAAGGAATTGGGAAGCGGGGAGGGAAGGATGTCCTCCGCGCCGGCCAGCTAGGAGAGAAGCAAACCCCGAGGGCCGCTTCCACCAAGCCTAGCGCGCTGAGTCAGCCGCGGGCCCGCTGCTTTGTAATTTACAAGAGGGAGTCCGAATCGCACTCGGTAATTTGTTGTCGGTTTACAAGCCAAAAGGACTTATGTTTCCTCACCCAAAACGTCCTCAGTCACGGCCTGACCCCTTTTAAGAAAGGAACCTGGAGAAAGGAGCTGGATACCCTGCGCCCCGCCTTTCAGACAAGCTTGTGAGGCAGGGGGTGACCTACTCACACTGCCGCCTCTGGAATAAAGGAGCGCTCTTTGAGCTCAGACTCTGTATAGACTATCCTCATTAATACTGAGTCTTCACACTGACCAGGCCTTTTCCCATTTTGCAGCTGAGGCAGCTGAGGCACAGAAAAATAATTGACCAAGGTTATGTAGTCAGTGGAACAACAACCCTGGAGTCAGCCCAGGCCGACTCCCATGCCTCCGAATATTTAATTTACTAATCAGTTTGTGAGGTCTTAGATTCCTTTTTCTTTTCGCAGAAAAATACAGATAACTTCGCATTTAATATTGGAGTTCCTCATACTTCCTGAAGCTCATCCCATAATAAAAACCTCCCTTCTCGCACATCCTCTCCCACATCACCTCCTTTCAGTAATTGGTGAGATCGTGATTCGGCCGGAAGTTGGGGTGGAGACAGGCGTTGGGGAATGGAATGTAATTCAAACTGGATCACGATTACAGCTGCAGGCCCCCAATTGTCAGGTGGGGTGCAGGTAGGGTAGGAGGGGAGCACGTGGACATGGGCAGGGAAGTCAGGAGGAAGTGGGGTCCTCCTATAGCTTTTTGCTAGGGGTGGGGAGAGAGTGCCTGGGAGGGACTGGTGCAGGGCCCAGTCCCTCTAGGAAGCACGCAGGTACCGCTTTCCCCACATCTGGCCAGACGCTGCGCCCGGGAAGGTTATTCTGGTTCTGATCCACGTTCTGAGGACCTTGCTCTCCTCCTAAGCTCGGAGTCCCAAGAGCCGGCTCCACTATCCTCGGGCACACCCCCATTCCTCCATCTCCTATCTCCAGCTGTGGCTTCGCCGGCGTGGCGTGGTTTACTGTACACAAATCCTACTTATTTCCTCCTTATCTAGCAGTTTTTTTTTAAAACTACTCGAACTAGTTAAAGGGCTGTCTGTCCGGTTTATTTTCTGTTTAGGAAACAGCTGCCCATGCCCCCTTTCACTCCTATTCCCTCCCGGTCCTCCTTCCCCTCAATCTAGTTACCCAAAATGAGCAAACCTACTTTCTTGATTTCGTTTCTTAATATTAAAAATAACCAGTGAAGGCCTAATGATTTCATGCCCTCCCCCATCCCCGGGAAAGCAATAAATAAAATAAAAGCTCAGCCTGCCAATTACAACTACCGTCCGTGGAGAGGTTTATAGTTTGCTTGCACATCTCCTGGCTGAAGCACTGAAATGCCTGCCACAGCAGAAATGCAGCTAGTAGGAGGAGACGCAGAAAAAAACAATGAGTTGATAAAAACATACCGTGTCCTGTTACAGGGGGGAATAAAATAAAAATCAGGAACCCATTGTGAGTCTTTCTGACGGGGAGCGAAGGGCTCTACGAAGTTTCTGAGACTCCAGAGCAAAAGCCGATTTACGATCATGCTGCTCACCAGCCCAATGCTCTCCCTGAGACCACTGAGTGACCCAGAGTTCCTCTTTGAACTGTAATTTCGTCACAGGAAAAATGGGGAAAATAACATTTCTGCTGCGGTCAAGAATTCAAATGCTTTAACGTAGGTGAGCAAATGCGTTTCGATGGGGATAAACAAGTATGCAAAAAGTAAAGCTTACTGGTGTTATTAGGTAGTATCAAGCGAGAGGCACCAACTGCGCGGCTTTGTCCCACGTCTGAGGGTACACAGCTCCTAAAGCGCCCCCAAACGCCTCCCCAGACACCCAGAGCAACTGAACAGGCTGCAGGAATAAGCAGCACTGCTTCTCCACTTCCTTCACTGGGCTTCGTAAGCGGCTCTCGGAAGAAGCACTCGCCCGAAGGGAAATCCCGGTGCCTAGTCATCAGGCAAGAACTTCCCAACATCGCCAAAGGTTTAAGAATACTTGCTTGCCCAGCCTATCACGTTAGTTTCACAGATTCATAACCTGCCTTGTTCCCACCGCTCGGAATTTGCTTAACTTCTAACTTTACAATGGGATCCGAGAAAAGAAACGTTAGAATAAGTTCTGTAATTTTTTTTTTGTCCTTCAACAAGTATTTATTGCGGGCCTACTATGTGCTCAGTGCAATGGTACTCAATTTCCATATTCGTCCCCTAAGCTGATCCTGAGAGGCATTGTGTAACTAGAAAAGCGTTTCAGTGATTTTAAATTTAGTTCAATAAATAGAATGTAGCCTTAAATTATAGGACTAATTCTTTCAACATGTTGGAAATTTAATGTATTTATGTACATTTATGTAAGGGGCTTTTGAGGGAGACAGCAGAAGGTTTTTTTAAAAAATAAATACATTAATGCACACAAAAAATCATCTTAAAAAGCCTCATTTAAAAACATGCATAGAGTGAATATACTGTACTTAAATCTCTTACTGGCATGTATTTCCGTTTCCCCAAAATCAACTGTAATAGTAATTAACGTAGCAGAAAAATAGAACTGACGCAGCTGACTTGGCGACCTGCCTGCCTCATAAGCCTGCTGAAGGGTTAACGGAGAAACGACTTTTTTCTTCGAGGAAAAGTGGAGCTAGCCGGAAAAATATCTACAGGTCATTAGTTCGATAACCTGGCGTTGTGGTGCAAAGTAACCATTGAATTAGTCTTGCAGGAGAAAGTAGGATACTGCCGTGACCCGATTAGAGAGGCCTCATTTCGGCGCCCAACTTTGGGAGATGATTGAGTCGAAGAATGCTGGTGATGCTGGTAGAGACCAACACTAGCCTTTCAGACCTCTGCCTTGTCTATTACCTATCTTGTGGACAACGCAATTCGTAAGAGTGTGTCTCTGCTTGATTCGTAGTCTCTGAGATCAATGGCGATTTCACCCCAGCAGGCACCGTCACACTTCGGGTTTAGCCTGGGGACATTAGACCCGGCTGCACCGAAGACCGGGAGGGAGGATTCTGGCAGAACGCCGAGGGGAGGAGCGCGGCGATGCGAGGAGGTGGAGAGCGCCGCCGGCGCGCCTCGGCCAATCGGCTTCCACTCCGTCTGACAACTGGCCAATCAGAGGGTGCGGAGCTCGGGGCTCGGAGCTGATAATACTAGAAAAGAGAGCAGAGGCTGACTACTGCAGCGAGGGGCGCTGCGCTGCACGCAGCTGCGTGCGCCCTCCCGCCCCGGGAGTCCGCGGTCGGAGTCAGGCCAGGGGCCCAACCTTCCCGCCCAGCTTGGGTCAGAGAGAGCCGAAAGAAGCCTCAGCGAGGTGAAGAGCCTGAGGCAGTGGAGGACCGGTCAGAAGTTTTCAACTTTGGGCCGTGCAGGGCGAGGCTGCTGAGGACTTGACTCACCTTCACCCCTACCCCTCTCCACTCCCCAACCAGTGAGCTCCGGGCCTCCTGCTTTCAGGCCCCGATTTTGTGGCAGGGTGTGGTGACCCGATTTCTATCTGCAAGCACAGCCAGCAACCCAAGAACCAGGTCCCAAGGCTGGATCACTTTTGCCTTGGCTGCTAGCCCGGGCCTCAGAGTCTTGGTGAGTGCTGTGATGTTCTCGGGGTGTCAGGGAGGGCCAAATCACCTTTCCTTATCGTTTCTATTTTAGTTGGAAGTCTTGCCTTACAGTGCAAATCATGCCCGATATACATTGATCCCGCGCTGCTCAGCCCTGAGTTGTTCAAACACCACTGATGCTGACAGGCATCTGAAGCTCTGTGCCCATTGTTCCTATGGGGTTCGAATGACAGCAGGACAACTTTAGTTTTTTTAGCTCATTACTTGTTGGGGTGGGGAGGTGATCTCTCCAAGCCCAAGAGGGGCCCTTGTGCTTTAGGAGGATGAGAAGCATTTGGGAGATGTAGTGTGATGGCTTGCTGGGTCCAAAAGATCCCTTGTGATAAAAAGGAAAATAATTCTTCCACCGACACTTTTATATTCATCATGGCCATTCTAGTTGGGGAAGCCTGACAAGTGGCCTCGGCCGGCCTAGTCGGTCGCGACGCCTTTGTGTATGTGATGAGTGAGTTACCCATGGACTTGTCCCAAACTCGTGTGTAAAGCCAGGGAGAGCTATGGTTAAAGGTTAGGGGCTCGCAGAACACTTAGAATTAATAGATAAAAACCTTCCTGGATCTAGATAAAAAAAAAATTGGGGACCTCTGGGGGTCCTTAAGATATAAGAAAGTCACGTGTGGCCTGGATGTGAGGTGAGGGACGCGTAGAGAGCCGGGCTCCTCCAGGCGCAGGATGCGGGCAGACCAGGAGCTGCGGGCCCAGCGCCTGGGGACGGTGCCTGAAGGCAGTCCGTGGGTCTGCGTCTTTTCGTGTCTCTCCAGGGCACAGACGCCTGAGCAGAGGCTCGAGAGGAGAGTCGCGCGCCATGGCCGACCGGCAGGCGGACCTGGTGGCCGGGGACTGGGAGATCGACGTGGAGAGCCTAGAGCTGGAGGAGGACGGCCGCGGGGCGCCGCTGCCAACGCTGCCCGGGCACAGCCCGCGGGCGGCGGATGGGGACGGCGAGGACGACGACGACGAGGTTGAGGACGACGAGGACGCGGAGGACGAGGGGGACGGCGAGGAGGCGGGCGCGTCCCCGGGGGTGCCAGGCCGGCCGGAGCAGCAGAGGGGACTGCCGCCGAGGCCGCCTCCCTCCCTGCAGGCCTCGCAGGCCTCGGCTGGGCCACCGGAGCGCGGCGCCAACGCGGGCGGCGGCGCCGAGCCGCGCAAGCTCAGCCGCACGCCCAAGTGCGCGCGCTGCCGCAACCACGGCGTGGTGTCCTGTCTCAAGGGCCACAAGCGCTTCTGCCGATGGCGCGACTGCCAGTGCGCCAACTGCCTGCTGGTGGTGGAGCGGCAGCGCGTCATGGCTGCCCAGGTGGCGCTCCGGAGACAGCAGGCCACGGAGGTGCGTACTCGCCGGGCTGGGGGTAGGGTGGGGCGTCCTGGGCTGCCTGCGGGTCGAGAGTCGGAGACGTGGCTGCTCCCCAAACATCTGCGCTCAGGGCCTCGTGTCACTTAGCACTTGATCGTAAGGATGATGATGACACTTCTCTATGCAGGCCTGCAGGGTCAGGTGGTGGTGAGGAAGCCGTAGGCATTTCTGGAGAACTTGGCAGGAAAGGGTGCATGAAAAAGTGGGCAGAGAGGCCTTGAAATTGGTTAGGCCTGTTATGGGAAAGACATTTTATTTTTATGTTTTATATTTAAAAATTTATTTTGCCAGTTTGCGGGGAGGAGGACAGACAGCGGTTGATGCCGTGCACTGCGGCCATAGCGATGCTCCTTGCGGGACGACTAGCGCTCGTTGAGTAAAAGACCCACGCAGCACGTAGCGCACGCACTGCTTCCGCTGTCACAGGCCATTTAAGATAGGCAAGCTGTGCTACCCATTTTACAGATGAAACCAAAAGTGGCCTGGGAAGTTAGGTGACCGGCAGCCAAAGTCTTGCAACCGGAAGCTTCTGCGCTTTCCCTGCCCCCAGCTTTACCAAAGGGCCGGCGGCTGCCTTTCACCGTGGAGCTCCAGCTGTGAGGAAAGCCAAAGCTTTCTTTACGGGAGAGACTTTTCTTGAACTTTGGACTTAATGTTTCCAAGTAGTCCTGCACCTGGGGAGCTCAGAGCCAGGGAAGCTGCGCAGGCCTCGCTTCCAGACTCGGGTCGTGCGAGGATTTTCGATTTTACTTTTTGGCAAGGACGGGCTAGGGAATGGATCACTATACACACCGAAGGCTGTGACCCTAATGGAAAGCCTCCCAAGGGCCCCAGAGAGGTGCTGGACTCAGGAGGTGGCCTGACCATGAGCTCGGCTTCCTCCCGCTTCCGGCGTGTTTCAGCGTGCGTTCTGCGTTTTTTCGCGTTCTTCACCGCTTGCTGGGCTGAACGCTGGCATAGAAGGACCCAGAAACCCACCGAATACGTGAGGTGGTGACTCGGGAGCGAAGGCGGGGTGGAGGGATGGGGGTGGGGTGTCTCTTTGTCTTGTATCCACGGAGACTTACGAGGATTTTGTTTGGCTTCATGCGCTCCACTCTCCTAGTGAACAATCAGGAGTTTTTGGCCAGGCACACGAGCTTTTGAGAGAAGCACGCTCAAGTCTCTCCCTCAAATCCCTGCACCTGGCCCTACCCGCCCTACTGCAGGGAGAAACCAGCCCCACATCACTGCCCAAAGGCAGGCACCTTCAGCCCTACTCTGGGCAGCTGTCTTTAGGGGCCGACCTCCTACTGTATCCTCGACAGTGGAGCTCACCTTCCTTGGTGATGTCGCCCTAATTCTGACTGCCCGGCGAGCATGGGGAGGCTCAAAGGAAAGCGGCCCCAAGCTTTGGAGAAAGTTTCTAGCTCGTTGTCGTGGAATTAGGGAGTGCTGATATTAATTCGTTTAGAATCATTTTCACATGGGATGGGAAAATAATTTCATTAGACTGAGTAAAGTTGCTGATGCGCTTGTCCCTCACCTTTTCTTTCAAGGCATTATGGATTATATGTTTCTTCTGTTTATAGGACAAGAAAGGGCTCTCTGGGAAACAGAATAATTTCGAGCGCAAAGCCGTGTATCAGAGGCAAATCAGGACACCCAGTCTGCTGGCCAAAAGTATTTTAGAAGGTAAAGCAAGACCCAGTTATCCTTTAGTATTTTAAACCAAGTTTTGAGTGATTCTCATCATGCAGGCACATGGCATTTTTATTAACCTGCGAAGGAGCATTCTGAGGGTAAGGTACTTTTTATTAGAAAGTTTTCCTCTAGGAAGAAAATCAGGAGGTAGGAAATTAGTCTTGAATACTTCCTGAGGTTTTTGTCACTGATAATTTTGTTGTCTGCTCAACAGTTAATTAACATGGAGTGCTAATGGGTTAAATGAAGTTTGCCCTAGGGTGATGGATGTACAGAGATACACTGCTAAGCGATCCCCCAGCAGATGTCCTGGAGGGAATAAATTGAAAAAAAAAATTTAGTTGTAGTTGGAGCTAAAGAGAGGAAGTCAAGTGAGGAGTTTAGCAGCTACTCACACCAATAAAAACCTCTAGTCTGGGCGATCCAACCTCTAAGCCCACTCTATTTCTTTTACTACTTTCCTCCCTGGATTATCTACATAATTGTTTTTTTCTCATATAATTGTACCATCTTTAACAGTTGAGAGTGAAGACTGGAGAAGGTTTTGAATCAAACAAGGGAAGTGGAGACTAAATTTGAACAGTGTTTCTCCATGTTTTCACTTTAAAGCCTGGTGATACATTAATTTTTCTTACTGATTTTTCACATCATCTCTGTTTGGATATGAACTTTATTGACTTGGATAAATAATATGTTAACTATCTTTTATTATATATAAAAAAGGAAAGTTTATTGGCTATAATCACTGCTGCTTCATAAGATTCAGGTTGAAAAGCAGATTTTTTTTGGATATTTGAATTCTTTTTTTTTTGTGTGTGTGTAGCTTCTGAATTGAGTTGGTTCTGGACAGGTTTTAAGTTTTTTAGTATCTTACTGTATGCTGTGTGCTTTTGACCTTAAAATGGTTTCATGCATCAAAAATGAATTTGGTTACAAACTGGGTAAACAGATTTATAACCATAGGGACCACACTGATAAATTGAAATTGTGCCAAAGCAACTTGAGAAGTGGGAGGACTAAATGGAATACTAAATTTAAGTAAATAACTTCCTGGCAAAAACTTACCATAGAAATGGAAACGTTAATTTTCAAATTTTATTTTATTTGCAAATGAGTATGATGGGCTTGTCACTATGTAAACACAAACATCACACAATGGATCCTTCAAACAAATTTGATAGTGCTGAGTACTTAAGGATTATGAAATACTCAAAGTATCTTATGATGCTAGGAATTCTATTTACATTATGGTAATCTTTGTTTTTGACTTTGTTCCTATTCATAAAATGTGCGATGACTTAATCTATATTCTAATGACTGCTTGTTTGACTATTCTGGTATCTGGTCAACATAATTAGAACTTGGGAAAATGTTTTAAACCAGTTGTTTTCAATATAGCAGGGGACCTTCCCCCCATGCCCTTTGTTTGTTGGTTTGCACTGGAAGACAGGGGCAGGGGTCTGATGAAAAATTGTTCACTGTGGGGTCTGTTTGACTAGTTAACAGCTCTTTTCAATTTTCTATGCTGCTCTGTTTCCTTAAGTCTTCTCTCTTTTTCTCTTCACTAATCTACTTTAACTTTCTCTTTTTTCGTAGTTCTCCTTGGATTATTCTACAACTGTAACAATGTGTACATAATGAGCCATCTTTAGAAAATAAAAGTGACATCAGCTCTAGGTATAGATATTTTTTGAATAATGGGAAAAGATGACCTGGATAGTAATAAAGCATTGATTGATATAAGATGAGCAGATTTGTCTCTTACCATATAGAAGAATATTAAAATTTCAGCCAGTAAAGGATGCTGTACAAGTAAACCAACAAATGTATAAAGACAAAAAAAAACACACAGAAAGTTACAATATGAATATCCTTCCTCCCAAAGGGAACTATTTTAAATGGAACCTATAATTTGTTTTATATATAAAATATTTAGTGATGTAGAACTGTAAATGCTTGTTCTGCCAATTTGCAGTGTTTCTGATGCCTTCTGGATTTCTAGATTTTTCTTCCCTAGATGCTAATCTCTTTCATGTGCAATGCTTGCTTATTTTAGGCTACCGCCCTATTCCAGCTGAGACTCATGTGGGAGGGAGCTTACCTCTACCTCCCCCGGTAAGTGACCGGATGAGGAAAAGGCGGGCCTTTGCTGATAAAGAATTGGAGAACATTATGCTGGAGAGAGAATATAAAGAGAGGGAGATGTTGGAAGCTTCCCAAGCTGCTGCCTTGTTCCTGCCCAACCGCATGGTGCATGGACCTGAGTACAGCTCCTACAAAAATGCCTACAGTCCCACCGCAGTGGAACCATCCAATAAAGACTTCTGTAACTTTTTGCCCACGTGCCTTGATCTAACCATGCAATATTCAGGGTCTGGGAATATGGAACTAATCTCTTCCAATGTCAGTGTGGCTGCGACTTATAGACAATATCCCTTATCCTCAAGATTTTTAGTTTGGCCCAAGTGTGGCCCCATTAGTGACACTCTTCTTTACCAGCAATACCTGCTAAATGCCACCACCTCAGTTCAAGCTCTGAAACCTGGGGCCAGCTGGGATTCGAAGGGAGTTCGAATTCAGGATGGACTTGGTATGGAACATGACATGGTGCCACCAAAATTGGAAGGCTGTCTGGTGTTGCCTCACAGTCATGAGGTCCAGACCTTGGGAAGTGACCTTCAGGGTCACCAGGCCATCCCAGAGAGGTCCCTGTTCTCCCCACCCCAAGGGAATTTCTCTCCAGTTGTTGACATGGACTCTTCAGCAGCTCAAGGGCACATCTTAACCAAGATCAGCAAAGAAAGCACGAGGCACCCTCTGCCACTTAAACATAATCCATTCCACTCATTATTCCAGCAAACTCTTCTTGACAAATCAGGTCCTGAGTTGAAAACGTCATTTGTCAAGGATGCCTTTGAAGAGGCCCCTAAGAAACACAGAGACTGTTTAGTCAAGGAGAACCAGAAGTACACATTTACAATAGATAGATGTGCAAAAGACCTTTTTGTAGCCAAACAAGTTGGAACAAAACTGTCTGTGAATGAACCGCTGTCATTTTCTGTTGAGTCTATTCTTAAGAGGCCTTCGTCTGCCATCACTCACGTCTCTCAGTGAAAGACTGCTTAAATGGAAGGCTGGATTTTCTTCAGTCTCAGAGAGTTCTTACCTGTTGCTAATTTTTTGTTTTTAAAAGAAAGATGTATAAAGAAATTTCTAATGTAAATGATGATGATTTTAAAAATTATATATATTCATATGCATGTACTTTTTTTGCCACATAAATATATTTAAACTTAAATATGGAAATTGCTTATGTGCATATTGTAAAGTTCCATGTTTTACACAGTATTTCTAAAAGCAATAAAACTGACACTGTCTTCCAAAAGACCTAGTATTTGCTGAAGTAAATAGCTGTGTCTGTCTAGATGAAAAAGCTAGTGTTCATGAAGTGTGTTCTTTTTTTTTTCTATGACTCTGGGTGTTTTCAAGCACTCTTAAAGATCACGGGGATCACAGGAAAACCCTTGGTTTTGTATTTTGGAAGGCAAGTAACTTTAGCTATTCTAGATTGAGGCAAAACTAGCTTTAAGGAGATTATAGAGCAGATCTGCTATTTAATATCATGTGATTGGACAACTTTGAATTAATTTGAAGGGAAATCAAGTTGAACATCTCATTTATATTATGGACATGGGTTCCTGGAATTGACCTCTTTTAGCTCTCTGGATCCCAGTTTCCTTCCCTGATGGGGATGTGTATGTGGGGCCTCAAGCTTCCTTTCTAGATGGAACATTCTATGATTGTTAGGTTGCTAGCAGCCACAGAGCAAGTTCCCTTGTAAGGTGCAGTCAGTTCAATATGATAACGCATGTGTTACGTCACTGTTTCTGAAGGCCTGGTGACAGCAGGCATTTAAAAAGCAGAGTCAGAACTCTCAGCTGGTCCCTGGGTATCAACTTTACATGTAGTCCCACATTTTTACCAGTGTCAAAGGTTTTCCGTGTAGCTCTCTTCTGAGATAAACATTTACTATTCAGAGTGCTTCAGCTGACATTTGCTGAAACTGCTGATGTTTATCACAGCATGAGGGTGGCTTTTGGAGTCTTAAACCTTTCCCCCTGTTTTTGAGTTCGTTATGACCTTGTTTTGCTCAACAAAATGTTAGCTACTGTTCTATATAGCTGATAAAATGAGAATAAGACTTTTATGAGAGTATTCGATTTATCTCTGAAGACCTCATCTCTGGACCCCAAATGAAGTTCTAAGATGTTAGACATTTCAACACAGAAAATCAAGAGCCAAATACCTCGCCTTTAGTTTTGCCATGGAGCGAGTTTTTACTTCCAACTCTGCTCTCATTTGAGTAACAAGAACTAGGTAGGCACATAGAATGTGGAAAGAAATTTGGTAGCAAGAGTTTTTCTTCTCTGGAAAACTTTTAAAATTATTTTAAAGTGAGTTTGCTACTGATGAGCTCTTGTAAACCTCCAGGGGCTCTCTGAATTGTGCTTAAAATTAGTATCAGTTTCAAAAGCAGCAAGCCAAACCTTAGATTGATTTTCAGTTTGTACTTGTAAAATAATACTTGGTTTTGTTGAGTCAAATTTACTTACTTATACTATTGTAAAAGCCAGAGCAAATGGAAGCCTGCCAGAGGACTAGAAAATGAAAGTGGGAAGAGATCCCAACTGTTGAAGATTATCATAAAAATGTTTTCCAGCCCTGAATGTCCTGGTGTCAGAGGCAAAATCTAACTGTAGTTGTTCCTCATATTCCTCCACCCCATCATCTTTGCTTTATATAGTTCTTATATCTTGCTATCAGGAATTAATTTTTTTGTTTCGAGTGTTAAGAATAAATAGGATTGACCCTAACTGCTGCAAGAGTTAATGGGAAAAACACATTAGAATAAACCCACACAAAAAATCCAAAGGAGAAGGCCTTCTTAAATCCAAACATGGTTTTTTCTCTTTCTTACTCTAATATTTTGAATGTTTATGTTTGTCACTTTTTTCCTTTTTGTGGTTAATATTTTGGGACATCCTTTCTGTCCTCTATATCATTTTAATCTTAAGTGAATCCAGGTGGTTGGTTGTGGGTATTAGTAGTTTTTCTCACATTACCAGTAGCCAGAATTTTATGATTCTTGAACATTTATAAGGGTCAATACTTTCCTTGGAAATTGTGTTATTATACTAGGCATTCATTTTGCTGTAATGATGAGCTCTTGGAATTTCAGACCTACCAAGTCTTCCACCAGTCATTCAATGAGAGCTTTGTGCTTGGCTCTTTGTTTCTTTTAATAATTTCACTTCCATAAAAGCTATTATTTGTTTATGTAGAGTCTTCAAAGAACACTATCATTGACATTAATCGCATAGTGATTTCTATGTTCAAGACAGTAGATTTGGCTTTAGTCATTTTTAAGGATGTAAAAGATAGTACAACATGGACCTTGTCCTAAATTCGCAGTACAGTAATGCACCTTTAATGACATATTTTTCTTCCATCTCAACTAACCAAGCATTCTTACTTTTTGCTCAGTTTGCAGTTTTATATAGTTTTCAATAGTGCTTCTCAAACATTAATGGACAATGGATTGACTGGGAATTCTGTTAAAAGCAGATGTTAATCTATAGGCCTGGGATGGGCCTGAGATTCTGCTTTTCCAACAAACTCTCAGGGGTGCTGATGCTGCTGGTCTTCAGACCACACTTTGAATAGCAAATGTTTATAACAGTTCTGTTATTTTAATGCACATTTAATACACTTTTCTGTGGATTTTAGATTCTAATGCAATGGAGTTATGAAAAATTTCATATACATGAATAATTTAAGAACATTTCCACAGAATGGGAGCAAAGTCAAAGACTGTACGACACCAAGAGTGAACAATAATGTTAACTGTGGGTTTTGGGTGATGGTGATGTGTTAGTGAAGGTTCAGCAGTTGTAACAAATGCATCACTCTGGTGGGGGATGTTTGTAATGGGGAGGGTACACATGTGTTGGGCTTGGGGGAATATGGGAAATCTCGGTACCTACCCCTCAATTTTGCCATGAACCTAAAACTGTTCTAAGCCAGAAATAGTCAATTAAAAAAATTCCCCCTTTTCTAACCCTTTGGTGGCAGAAATAGGACAAGACCCAGGCATCGTCATAAAGTGGACTAATTGCTTCCCTTCTCTTTTTTTCCTCCAAACTTAGAAGTTCTTTAATTGGTTAAAATACATATTTTTAATTGTGGTAAGATATATATAATACGAAATTTACCATTATAACCATTTTAAACTGTACAATTCAGTGGCATTAAGTACATTCACCTTGTTGTGTAACTATTAGCACCATCCATCCATCTCCAGGACTCTTTTCACCTTGCCTAACTAAAAATCTATACCCATTAAACAATATCCCTTCTCCCCAAATCCCCTGATAGCCATCCATCTACTTTCTGTCTGTATGAATTGGACGACTCCAGGTAATAACACCTCAGATAAGTGGAATCATTGTTATTTGTCTTTTTGTGACTGGCTTATTTCACTTAGAATAATGTCTTCAAGGTTCATTTATGTCATGGCATATGTCAGAATTTCCTTCCTTTTTAAGGTGGAATAATATTCCATTGTACACATATACCACATGTTGTTTATCCATTCATCTGGACATGTGGGTTGTTTCCACTTCTTTGCTATTTTGATTAATGCTGCAGTGAACATGGGTGTGCAAATATCTCTTCAAGCACTTCTCACTCCCTGATTTCACCTTCTTCCCATCTTCAGGAGCTTCGTTTTCTCAGGCATATGTACCCCCACCCTAACCTGCCTCCCCTCCTCCCACAGCATGTGGACCATCTCCTTTCCTCACCAAGACAACACCACTCTGCCAAGAGAGGCTCCAGTATAAGCTGTGCACCTTTGAATGTGAGATTAAGTGAGTGTGTTGTATCTTCTGCATTTGAAAGCTTAATTCTAATTGTGAAATGAAAGACTTGTATTAACTTGGAATTCCTTCTGCTAAGCCTCAGCAGTGCTAAGGAGCAAAGGAATGGCAAGAGGTCAAGATGAAAAAAGGGGAGGCCACAATTCCCTGTAGAATAAGAAAGATATCACTTAGAATCAAGGCTGGGTCTTTAAACAGGAGTTCTTACTGGCCCAACTAATTTTATTTATTTTTGGATTAACTTTCTTTGTTCCTATTCTAGGTCTAGCTCAGGCTTATTTGCTTGTTAGTTCCAATTTGTAGGGCTGATAGTTCTTGAGATGGCTGGATTCTTCAACATATAAACTTTGGTGTGTGGTATCTGCTTATATTTAGTTTAATGATTAGACCAAGCCTATAACACATTCCACCACCCTTAGTTATTTTGGTTTTAACTTGCTATATAAATACATTAGGGCCTGCTGGATGGAGATACCTGCAAATAGGTTGGCATCTGGTGTGATAGTAAATGTGTCATAATAATTAACATGTACTATATAGTACCTGCTAATTTGCAGAGCACATTCATATTTATTAGCTCTTTTGTTCCTCATATAAATCACATATAAAATTGACAAGTGGCCATATCAAGAATTGACTCTACATCTCCATCTTTGTGTATGCAAAGTTGGGTATATTTTCCCCAATACATAACATGAATTGATACAGCCTAATCTATCTCTAAGATTTTTTATGCAAATGTTAAGTATATCTAAGGCTTATATATAGTATATGTAACACATTATATATGTGTATTAGCTGCATGACTATAGATATCTCAGTGTACAAACATTTGCATATCTGTCCTAACTTCATAAAGTTAACACACACACACACACACACACACACACACACACACAATCCCATGGTGGTGTGAGAACAGTTGAGATAAAGAAGAAGAAAGAGAACCTACTGGGGAAGCATAACTGACTGACAGCCCCAGCTGTCACACCTTTGGATCCTCTGGCATGTTCACGCCATGGCCACACTTTCCCTGCGCTGCTTCCAGCAAATGAAAGTAGAGCAGGGTTGCGGGAACAGAACCCTTTCTACCCCAGTATGGGACCCCACTAACAGGCATCTTTGGCTGGGGAACTCTCCATCAAAGTATTTTGTTATGGGTGTTTGAGAAACCTAAAAACTAATATGTCCATTACATTCCCAGAGTTCAATCTAGAGATAAGACAAAGGAGTTGGCATTTGGAGGTTAGAATATACCTGTTACCTTTATTATTGATTATGATTATATTGGAGAATAACATATCCAGTAGCAAGGAGACCATTTGGATTATCTCTAACACTAAACCCCAGAATTAAACAGACTTACCCTCTTAGACCAGACAGCACCAGCCCACCACACCTTTCCTACATGCACAGTGATTATGTGTCTATTCTCTGCA